CCCTCAGATTAAGAGTCTGATGCTCTACCGACTGAGCTATCCCCACCTCCCACCTAGTAATTACCTATAATTGCAATTAATTTTTACTTTACTCTCGATATTTTTTTTTTCTTTTTCCACTACTTTTCGTGACCACCCTGGCAATTCTACTATCAATCTAATTAATTTCTTGATAATTCCACTTTAGACGCAATCGAGACCGGCGCCGTACACGTCAGCGCCAGCTAGTCCTCTGCTTCCGCAACGTTCCAGCAGCCGGAAGTACAATGGTAGCGCCGGAACCACCGGTACTCTGGGAAGGCCGCGTGCAGAGAGCGTGAACGATCGTCCCTTCATGTCCGTGAAACGTGCCTACGAATATCGCAAATACAACGACAGCCAGGTAAACGAACAACTACCGATACGCATATATAATAGCGATAGTTGGACTGTTAGAGAAAGAAATAGGAAGAGAGAGTGGCGTTTTTGCCGCCGTCGCCGCCGCCACCGCGGCGTACGTACGCAAGCTGGAATCGATCGTGGTTAACGAGTATTTCGAGATGTGCCAGAAGCATAAAACGTTTTGTCGTGGCGCGCATAAAGCAACGAGAAACACGCCAGCCGATTAGGCGATAAACGTTTATTAAGTCGTCGGTCGAGGTTGGAAAAAAGCAGCGTGGTGTTCGCCCGAGGCGGTCGGACTATTTGAAATAATTGTCGGTAATAAGGATAATAAATCGTGGTAACGGCGGCACGATCGATGCCCGGCTCTCTCGCGCGAATGAAACGGCGGCGGCACGAACGCTACAATTTAGTCCCCGGTAGATTGTCGACCGTAGAAGCAGCTCCCACCGCACGCGGCCGCACAGTTAGATCCTAAACAGCAAGAAACAGAATCCACATTACACTTCGCGGACTTGACTTCGCGGAAAGGAAAGAAAGGAGACAGACCGCATCCTTTAAAGTCGTCACGAGTTACTAGTTTAACCCTTTCTTCTGCCGAGTTTTTTTTTTTTTAGCCAAGTTATTACGTAGTTTATTTCGCGACGCGACGCTCGACGATCGATGCAATTAGAGACGAGCTATAATAAGGTGAACTGTTTTTCGCGTAGAATCTTCATTCGCGATGCTACATGCCTGTTGTTGAAATTTATTCATATATACAAGTCGACTACGTACAATTTTTCGTCTAAAAACTATTAACCCTTTGCACTCGAGAGGGGTGACTCTCACTCACCACTTGTTTTAATGCGGAAACTCGATGCGCGGCAATGACTACGTTTAGTTCCTTTGAAGCGGGACCCCTACGCTCTTTCTGTATAATCTTATGAAGTGTAACATGAATTAGGAAGGATTGCAAAGTCTTTATCTATTATTTCTCAAAGAAATAACCCCGGCAAAAGACATCAAACAACATATTATTGTAATACTTGCCCCGACAAGCCGGGCATGCATCTTGGCAATTGTTATATGAAATATCTAAGAAATTTTCTTCATAAAGGTGTAAAGATATATAAAATGTTAAAATATAAAAGTTTTATACATTAATTTGTGTGTTTAATAATTTTAAGTGTAGGGGTAAGAAATTCGCCAAAAATGCTGCGAAACGTCTCGAGTTGCTGGTTCGCCGCGCGAAAAAGAGTCTCGAGTGAAAAGGGTTAAATCTAATAGAAAAGACAAGAAAAAGAAGATCGAACGATTAATAGGGAAATCAGAGTGTGGCAGGAAAGGATTAAAGTCAGTTCTTCCCTCTGGCATGAAGCGCTTGGCTTGCTTTTCAGAGCCCTCCGACATCCCCCCGCTCTGGCTTAGTAAGCACGCAAACTTTAGGATTAGCAATGCAACAACAAGCAACGTTCATTAACACGGACAAGCCTCAACCGCCGCGACCAGAGTCCCGTAGCGATAGCTTTGCCCGCGCTGACGCTCTGTTGCGCGAGCATCGACAGCTGCAACAGCAACAACAGCAGCAGCAGCTGGCGTCCGCCAACAACAGTCACACGGATCAGAAACAATCGATCGGTCAGGATTTCGTCTCGACTCTGGCGCGAAACACTCGGCCAGAGTCGCGGAATCGCATCGTCGCTTGTCAGAGCGTCAGCAGAACCACGGTGACCAGCAACGACAGGAGCACCGACCACGTGGACGCAGGACTGCTGACCATGGTCGATCAGCAGTCGAACGCGCGGACAAGCGCGGACCCTCTCGTGAGCCTAATTCAATCACTCGCTGAGATTTCGCCCACCTACTCGCCCCAATCGATGACTAACAACGTCAAGCCAGACACGAGCGATCATCATCACGCGAGCATCAACGCAGCAATTGCGACAACTGCGAGGAGCAACATTGTTAACATTAGCAGCACTAATTGCTCCCCTAACCAGTCGCCCAAAGCATGGCAGAATTGCACCCAGGTTTGTCCAGCCTCCTCCCGCAGGAATCCTCGATGTAGCTCGATTTGCATTCAAGTAGTATTTTTTTTTTATTTTTCGCGACATATTATCTGTGTACGCTTTCGTTGTCTCATGGTTGTTTAGTTTTTTTTTTTTTTTTTTTTTTTTTGACAGAGGTTCAACCTTTTTGTTAAGATGTATGGACGACATATATCTCGCGTGTTCTTGTTGGAATTTTCTATCGGTCGCGGCTGTTTTCAGTAGTTCTTCGGAATGAACGGTTGATGTTGTTTACATGGAACAAGCAAACGCGCCTCGAGTCATAGTATTTGATATCTGCAAGTGAGATTTCATTTGCTTGCTTGCTTGAACGAAAGTTTGCAATCGAAATTCATGTACTTTTGGGAAGGGAATTTTTACTTTGTCCGAATCTCGAGCGGACTATCTCTTCGAATATAAAAGAAAAAAGGGTTGAAATGTCCTCGATCTGTCTCTCGAATCATTCAGCCTGTTCATAGACTATTCTCTAGCTGTGTGAAAATGGCTTGACGCGGCTTGCTTTCGCGACCAGTCGTGCGTACGTTCATTTTCAATAACGCAAATCCCGCAGACAGAATGTCTTGATGAAAATTTGCAGTCGCACAATGACTCGGCTTCATCGTGGACCGAGAGGAGCGTCAGTCCCGGAAGTGCGGTGGTCAGCAGCAGCGCGTCGAGACCGCAAACGCCGGCGTTCCCGGTTCATCCTCGAACCCCGTACGTGAACAACTCCTCGCCCACGGTTACGTTCGCGGCTGATCGCTCCTACAGCACCAACGCCACCTACAACGTCAACAACAACAACAACAACAATATGAACAACGTGGAGTCGACCGGGAATAACAACAACAACGTCGGGAATTATGGCAACGAACGAACGATCTACATCGAGGAACGAAGAGAAGTCTCGAAGGAGACGGGACTTCCACCCAAGAGTCCGACGACACAGAGGTGGGCAACCGTTTACCTATCTTTCTTTTCTCAACGTTATCGTGTTCATTCTGATAATATGATGAACAATTTAGAATTAAGTTTCGAGAGAGGCTTAATCCCACGATAAAAATCGAATTCGATAGTCGAGTAATTTGTATACATTGTCTAATGTGATCTGATCGATCAGTGTGTAGTTTCATTTCAACAGATACAGGAAATGTAGGAAGATAAACTCACGCTGGCTGTTGAATTTTTTTTTCTTTTTTTCTTCTTTTTAATAGAACAGAGGATTTTTCAATTTTTTGATTCAGGATCGAGAGAATGAATTCTTTTTTTTTTTTTTTTTTGTTTTTTTGTTTTTTTGACGAAGCACATTGCCGATGGAGCAATGATTATGACGCAGAACGATATTCGTGATTCTAGACGCTTGAGTTTCCCGGCAAGCGGGCCACTTAAACAAACGCATAACAAACGATGGCCGCTCACTAACCAATCGGCGTCGTTCGACTATAGGTAATATTACCATTTGAGAGAATTGGAACGCGTGGCAAGTGACGAACTCGTGTTCCCCAACGTGTGATGGGAACGCGTTGATTTCGCCGATTAGTCGTGAATGTTTCATGTCGTGCCACTAACCGTTTGTATCGGTACACCTTCGCTGCAACTGCATCGTATTGTGACATTTAAATGCATTCCAACTCTTTGACGACACAGTTCGGGACGAAAGATCAATGGACAAATCGTCGAACAACAGTACACGTTCTTTGATCGTAGAATTACAAACAAAGAAATGAACCTGCGATGATTTTGTCCTTCATAAACGGTACAATTAATTACGAGGATGATATATAACATACCGGCAAATATCAGAATTCCTGCCAGCAGATTAGCATAGTGAAACTTTGATTGATAGAAGTAGTTCGACGCGGTTGCAACGATCGGGGTTTTGCAGATCAGCATCGTGAACGAAAAACAATGAAGCGCTAAGAACACGCATTGTTCGTCGTGTGTGAGTGTGTGTATATTGCACTTGTCGGACTAACAAAAGCTCGAGCTTCTTGCATCGTGGACCACTTTGAAACTGTCATACTGTCATGCAACGAATGTACAAGCATCACCGAAGTAAAAAAAAGAAAAAAAAAAGGAATGAAAAAAGAAAATGTGTATGCCACAGGAAA